CACACTTACTATGATCGAATAATTTGCAATCTCGATTTCATGCAAGCAGAGATCCCTTATCTTATCATAATTAGTTATTTAAGATTATTGATGTCAACTTGACTCATACAGGCTTAGCCAATAGGCCATTCAGACTCATAGATGAATCATGGCTGAATTGAGTTCTCTTTTATTTTATTTATTATTTTTTTTTCACGAGTCAATTCGTTTAGACTCGTGGCCCGTGGGTCGACTTATATTTTCTATTTTTTGGTTTTGTTAATTTCTTTAAATATATAAATTTTAGCTTATTGTGGGATTATTTTATTTTAAAAAATGAGTCAATTTGCGAATGATCGCTGAGCCTAGATTTGGAATGAGTCGAGCTCAGGCTCAGCTCGTACCTTGGGGCTGAGTTCAGCTCGAGTGTCTAAGGGTCAAGACAACTCGACTTGGCCCATTGCCACCCTTACGTAAGACAATAACAAAATAAATTCAAATTTTCTTACCAATCTATTATACGAAAAGTTATCCTAAAATGATGAATAAAAGTTTCTTTAGATAACATACTACACATGTTAGAGAATTGTGGGAACGATCGCTTCTCAATTTGGAAGATGAACATTGATTTTTACTTGGGTGGTTATATTCACACCGCATTATTTTATAAATATGCTACATTTTAATTACATTAAAGGTCATTAATTTTTGTTCATTATCACATTTATATCCTAACATTTTTTGACATCATATTCTTATTTTTAACATTTCATTGATTTTTCATTCAAAAATATTGGTAACGTACTTTAAAATAAGGTTCAAATATTGAATCACATTTTTGTATATTATTTGTTTTACTTATTTAAAAATGTAATGGACGAACGGGTCTTTTTATTCTATCTTAAAGAAAATTTTGGAGAGAAACCATAATCATGAAAAAATTATGTTTGAAAATAAAAATGCGATGAAAAATGTTAGAGACATAAATGTGATAAAGTGTAAGGGTTATCTACCTTTCTTACAATTAGAATAATCTAGTTGTTAAATAAGGAAAATTTAAATATAGTATATTCTCGTCTTATATTTATACTTTAATTCCCACACTCTTGAGTACTAGAAACCTTTCATCGAGACCTATTCTAACGATATAACAAGAATTTAAATGATATTCTTCGTTGTGAATAACCGTGCAAAGATTGAGGATCAACTTGCTTGTTTTTTAAATTGTAGACTGGTTAACTACATAAATTATAAATTTGAAATTGAAGATGTGATCTTCCATATATTCTTTTGTACGCATGAAAGTCGTTGGCATTTTTCAATAGATTTTTTTTTTATACATGTTTTCCTTTACACCTTTTAAAAAAAATACTATTATTAAAATAAAAAACTTTAAACCATGAATGCGTATTCCCCTCGTGATTTATAAGGAAGTCTCACTTCAAGAAGAAATTAGCTAGTGAAAATGTCATGACACGTGTTTAGGGGGATAATAATTTATTCCACAATTGCATCTTCCATAAGGACAAATCCATTTGTATACAGTTTTTTTTACAAAAAATGTTATACCCTCCCACATGCGCGCGAAGCCCACATAAATAAAAGAATCATGCTATATGTACAACAATGATTGACAACATAGGTTGACAACATCCTATTGACATCATCATATTCATCCATTTTAAAAAACTGTTTTCTACATCACATTCTAGAATTTTGACAATACATGATTGTCAACCAATATTGTACACTTAGATTTATTCATGTAGATATAGCATTGTCCTCTTCACAATAGGAGGAAAATAATCAAGCTACATGTACCTAATTTTCTACATAATGGATTACCGAATCGACAAATGACGATCCCCTATTGGGGGGTGCCTGTGGGCACAGGCGCCCCCCATAGGGGGCCGTCGCTTGTGGATTCGGTAATCCATTATGTAGAAAATTTTGTACAACAAGAATAATTCGAAAATAAATAGAAAAATGCTATGTGTACGTAAGGAAAATAAATAAACAAAATTTACCGGTCCTGGTGACATGAGTTACATGATATTTGGGTTGTGGGCTTATTGAAATTAGCAAAATTTTAAACATGTACTTAAGGTCTTGTCTTAAAGCTTAGTTGCAATTTATGCATTGATTATATTATTGATTATTTTTATTAAGTACATTTAGCCATTGTTGATGCCCAGGGAAAATGAGTTTTGAAATAGTTATTTTTTAGAGAATGTATGGTTAAAAAGTAGAAAAAAATGAATTTACGTGCAAAATATTTTATTGTGAGAATACGATAAAAAAAATAAGTTTTAAAAAATATACATTTGGAGGAATAATAGACAAACGAGGGTTTAGCCAATCTTGTCTTACATTACGTTAATTTTGTTACATTAATCATACTCATATTATGTATCTATTAATCATTCTCGCTATTTTTCTGATCCATAATACTTGAGTCCAAGCTCCCATTTGATAGTTAAAAAAGTCGATAAAATTTGAAGTCAAATTCTACAGTTAAATTTAATCATATATTTTCAACGGTCCACACTTTTATCAAAATTTCAAACACATAATTCATCAGCTTTTATCAGAATTTATTAAAAATTCGACTTTTAACAAAAGCAAACATGAGCGAAGTATTGAAAAGATTCAAATTTAACTATTTTATGGCATCAATCTCTCTATTTTTATGCAAGTGACCCCGTCTAATAACCACAAAAAAAAAAAAAAGAATATCACCATGTAAAACATTGAAAAAAAAAAGCAAGAAAATAAATGAGGAATTTGATAAAAATCTCTAGCCCTCGATTGATTTAACTAAAAAAATAAATTAAATCAATAATTAATTTTAACTATATAATTCTAACTTCGTTTTATAACAAAATCAAACATCGGCTCACCCTTCGTTAGAATCACCATCATCTCCGGTGGTCAATTTATGGGGTAAGTGACAAACTTTTTCAAGTTAAACGCATACATTGGAACCTTTTAGAGTGGACTTTGAATAGTATAAACATGATACCATTAAAATCACTACACGTACTCAAATTTACTTTTTCAGTCCCCTATAAAATCAACTAGATTACCATCATTGCACTTCACTTCCAATTTTCAACCACTCTTTCTCACTCTCACCATAACTGCGTGCGTAAATATCTCTCCTTTTCGTTTTTTCCGAGGAACGCCCGCAAAGGTGTACCCCCTTCTGCCTCCTCTTCAGCACCAACCAATAAGCAGACTTCGAGGCAGAAACGAAAACGAAAGGTAGACAAAGAAGGCTAAACGAAAAGACCTCTTTTTTCTACGAATCTCAAGTATCACATCTGTCTTAACTTGGTCCATTCATTCATGTAAGTTTCATTGGATATTGTCAGGATTTCTTAGCCTCTTTTCTTCTTCAAAATTGCCTTGATTTCATCCACTATTTGCAATGTCATTGACTCCATTCCCCAATTGCACCACTATCCCATTTTGCTATGTTGCTTCCTTTCACATTCATCTACCCCATCCCCACATCAGTATTCTGTATCTTTATACAAAACCCACAAAATATTTTCATCAATATCTATAGATATTGATCTTCGTGGGTTAAGTAAAAACTCCAAAAGGTAACTTTCGAAGAATATGTTTATTTTTTGAGGAAGATTCGATCTCAAATTTTCTAATATACTTTGCCTTTTTTCCATTATTAGTTCATCTTCTCCAAGATGTCTTTCTTTCTCTCTGTAAAGTCTATATTATTCTTCAAGAAATAATATGTATTTATTTCTGCCGTTTACTCTTTATTAATATATTTGCATGAAAGTTTTCTATTTTATTATACAACAAGTGGTCTATAAAATTCATTCTTGCACAAAAGATTTCCTTTTTTGTTTATTTCTTAACGTGTTCGATCTTCCTTGTTGTCTCCTTTTCTCCTGCAAATCGTTTTTTAATATTCTCAGTTAAACTCTCCATAACGCCGTGTTTTTCTTGCTTAAACTTTATCTCATTTCGTGAATATCTTCTCACTTCTTTCAGCTCCATTTCTGGCAGAAATCATGAGAGCAGACGGAAAGTTTTCTAAGGTATATATGCAATCCGCATGTATTGAATTTTCTGTAGTCTTCTCCAGATTTATTTAGAATAATAGTGGGTTTTTGTTGCAGTCTTCATGGCCAAAAGTGGTGGCCAGAAAGATGTTAAACTTAAGTAATGGTTCAGAAGAATTTCACTCAGACTATAGAACAAAAGGTAGAAGGAAAAGTCGCTCTGACGAAGCTCGCTCCGTCGTCGTACCTGAAGAATTATCTGGTAAGTGTTGCTTGTCCCAGATGTATTTATTTATCATTTTTATTATGATTAAATATATTATATCAATTTTTAAAATTCTAGAAAAGAAAAATGCCTTTGATTTTCAGTTTCTAACTGCAATATATCATCTGTCATGAAGATACTTTTCTTTCACGTTTTGCCACGTGGAAGCAGATGCTAGCTTATTGATTGTTGATTACACTGATTAATTTTGTTTTTAGCTTTACCTAATCACGTCTTAATCCGATTTATATAACCAGAAGAATGGTTGATGGGAGCAATTAACGAAATCAAACAGCCAGGATTCGACCTGCCGGCTGCACCACCACCTGTCAACAATAGCCTCGACCACAACCTCAGGTGAGGCAAAAATAAATTTTATATATTTTTAATATTTTTCAGTACTGTATAATTCATCGAGTCACGGTATGTTGAAATCAACTATATAATCTCTTAACTAGGAAGCAAATCATGATTAGGACGGGTAGTCGTGTGAGGTGGGGTGTTTACTTTTAGCCCCTATCTGATAATGATGTTTAAATAATGATTTTTTGGAGAATGTGTTGTTAAAAAAGTAGGGAAAAATTTTAAGTCTACGTACAAAATATTTTATTCTGTAAATGTTTGGTTGAAAATGATTATGAGAATTAAATGATTTTCTAAAATTGAAATTGAGAATCATTTTCTTTTACAATTGTAGGATGTTCGTGGGAACATGGAACGTAGGAGGCAAGCCACCACACTGTGGATTGAACATGGGAGACTGGTTTGGATCTATGGAACAAGCTGATATTTATGTACTCGGGTATGTCGGTCTACTCTTTGTCCTTCATTTTCGCTAAAAATCGAGTAGAAGTGTATTTTTGAGATACTAACAATTCTCTCTTTTTTGGGAAATAGATTTCAAGAGATAGTACCTTTGAATGCTGGGAACGTACTCGGCCCTGAGGATTATGCTCCAGCAGCAAAGTGGCTTTCCTTGATCCGACAAGCTCTAAATGGTGAGTCGAACAATTCTAGTGACGGTAACGTTGTTAGTCCTATGTTGAAAGAGTCTCCTAGCCCAAATGATCAACAACAACTGACTCCAAATCCAAGAGTTAACTTTCCAAATTTGATGTCATTAGAAGATGAGCTTGATCGCGATGATTTCGAAAGATTTGTGAGTTTTAGATCAAGTTCCTATTCTAGTGAAGAAGGTTCACCTAGTCCAGCAAGTGAACCGGCTACACATACTAGTACCGTACAACATCAATATAAACTAGTTTCCAGTAAACAGATGGTTGGAATCTTTTTATGCGTATGGGTTCGTGAGGAATTATGTCAACATATTAGCTCCTTGAAGGTTTCTTGTGTTGGAAGAGGCATTATGGGATACCTCGGAAATAAGGTATAGCTATAACGTTTTAGATGGATGGAATGTTTCAATATAATTGAGAGATTTATATTTGATTGTTTATCTTCTATTTGATTTTAGGGATCGATATCTATTAGCATGACATTACATCGAACAACAATTTGCTTCGTATGCACTCACTTGACCTCCGGAGAAAAAAAGGGCGACGAAATCAGAAGAAATTTAGACGTAACAGAAATTTTAAAGAGAACAAGATTTTCTCATCCATGTCGAATTCCAGGAAAACCAATTCTACTTGACAACATTTTGGATCACGAGTAAGCCCTTTATATACTTGGTCTACATTCGAAATGAAAAAAGTTATAATATGTTGATCAACTTGTCTTCACTATTAATTCAGCAAGGTAATTTGGCTAGGAGACTTGAACTATCGACTTGCATCTGTTTGTGATGAAACATATGAGTTGCTGAAGAGCAAAGATTGGCAAGCACTTCTAGAGAAAGATCAGGTAAAATTGAATTTCTTTACTAGTATTACTTACAAAAAATGAAAATTGGAATATTAAAAGGAAGATTAACCATAAGATTATTTCTTAAAACGGGTTGTTATTATATGTTGCAGCTGACGATAGAACAACAAGCTGGTCGAGTGTTTGACGGCTGGGAAGAAGGGAAAATATATTTTGCCCCGACTTACAAATACTTCGCCAATTCTGACAATTACGTTATCCAAACATCAACGTCTAAAGCAAAGCATAGGACTCCAGCTTGGTAAGATATTAAAAAAATTAGTTGAGAGTATGTTAATTGTTAACCGTTGGATTAGTTCTTAAAATATTTAGTGAGATGCTGCACATATATAACGGTGGACACTCTAGTTTACACATTGGTGTATGAGCCCTCCTTCATGTGAAATGGTGTAAACCCGGATGTACACTCGGGGGTGTACAAGTAATATTTTTCAAATAGTTATCCTTTTTTTATTGAATAAATGACAGGTGTGACAGGATTTTGTGGAAAGGTGACGGGTTAAAGCAAATGTGCTATGATAGGGGTGAATCAAAATTCTCAGACCACAGGCCAGTTTATTCACTTTTTACTGTACAAGTAGCTACTGTAGCAGCTAATGAGAAGAAACCCACACTCATAATTGGTTCATACACCCCTGAACCATCGACAGCAGCAGATAAATTACTTTCACAAACAGCTGTTTTATCGGCAACAAAAGACTTGATGTTCCTAACAAGAGCACAGAGTTGCATACACAAAACCTTAAGGTTCTCTGTCACAGCTCAACAAGTAACCAGCCAATAGAAGACTCTTAACAGCAATTTACTGACAGATGAAGGACTGACACGTTGGCATTGTGCCTGTGAACTCTCTCCGTGTCTCAAGCAACCTGCAAATGGGAGAGATGATAAAATAACACTCGGGTAAGGACAGAATGGTGGGGCTTGTTGGGTGTTGGACACCTGGCTGTACAGTTGAACATGGTTCCACTTCACCAATTGCACGTTAAGTCACTGCTTGGTGGAGATTAAAAACGAATTTTTAGTAGATTTTGATAAGAATTGATGAAATATGTGGTTAAAAGATTGTGGAATCCATAAAATATGCGATTGAAAAGAATAGTTGACTTTGATTTATATTAAAATCTAGATTTTAATTGATATCAAACAGCTAAATTTTTTTATTTTATGCTTTTGAGGAATTTGTTTTGGCTTTTGTAGAAGCATGTTGTAGGTTTTACATTTTCCAAAGCCATTTGTCCCGGCTCAGTGATCGGGACAAAAACAGGGGCTCCAGTTGGAGGGGGAGCCGCTCTCCAATAGGGGGCGCCGACTATTTTTGTCCGAGTCATTGAGCCAGGACATAAAGCACATGTATTTACATTTATCAAGGGCTTTGGTTATAGCTTTAGTGTGAGACCATTTTTGATAGCCATTATTTGAAAAAAATTTAAATCTCGTATTTATTTTTAATCATATATTCACAAAGTAAAATATTTTGTACGTAAATTCAAAATTTTTTCCTACATTTGAAACACACATTCTCCAAAAAGTCACTATTTAAAACATTATTTTTTTAACAATTACGACCATCGAACATGAACTTAGGGCGTGTCTGTTGGTGATTTCCAACATTAATATAGCCGTTTTTTTCAAACGGTGGCCCCCACCCCTCTCACACACTGTCAAAAGTTGCGGCTTCAAGCTCTCCCAACGGTTGAAATATCAATTCTAATCAGTCAAAGAATTTGCTCCAGACAGACACTTAATAAGAAAATGGTAGATTTTTTATAATACGAATCAATGACAGATCCAAGAATTCATCTAAATTTGGGCGAACGCTCGATGATTGCTCGACTAGCCGCCCAATATATAAACAAAAAAATTCCTATGGAACTAGCACTCGACAAGTCATGGTGGCTCGTCGAATGTTGGTTCTGTAATTGATAGGAGCGGTTGGAGTAAAGAGTTAATTTTTTTATTTTTTATTTTTAACTATTTTGTCTCACTGAATGACAGGTTTTTGTAAGGGATGTTTCTTGTGTTTCATGGTCTCTTTCAATTTCGTAAATTGTATATTTCTTTTGTTACTCGCATTTATGCAATGGCCTCGTTTCTAAATAAGCAAAAATTAAGTAAAAATTAGGAAAAAAAAAAACATAATTACCTAGTTTCAAAATACAATTTCAAATGCAAGAAATTTGTGAATTTTTTTTTTTCAAAAATTAGGTGTTATTATTTAAATAAGTCAAAGTCACAATAACATATAATTTATGATCCACAAAACGCCAAAATCACAAAGACACAAAATGTGGATCACAATTGCAAATTTAGCCATATTTGGGCTCCATTAATCCTAAACTATTTTTTTCCTCTCTTGTTTTCAACTACGCATTATTCAATAAAATAGTATTACGCGAAAATTTAAAAATTTTCATTATTTTTTAACAATAAATTCTTAGAAAAATACTATTTCAAAACTCTCTCTCTCTCTCTCTCTCTCTCTCACAGAATGGGACTCAAAGAAGGGTTTAATCGCAAATCATACATTTTCATAAATCACAACTTATTTATCATTACATTAGTTGGTCACAGTTTATTTATCAATTACAAATTACCCTTCATATCCCCCATCTTGCTCCACCCACTCTCCACCATCGTGTGCATTGCCGCCACAACCACAACCACCTCCAACGAACCACCACTGTCACCTCACCATTGCTACCACCCGTACCAACAATTATACCACCACCGCCAAGATCACATCAACAACTATAACCATCGTCCAGATCAGATCACACCAACAACCATCATCACCAATAACAATAACAATCATCAACAACCATGCAATGCTTTGCAACAATGATGCACAATAGATCTTTACAACGTCAATCGTTGCTATCACAAGACGACGGGTGTCACTGCGATGAGCAACGACGCCCATCCTCGCTGAGCATGCACGCGGTTGAGTGCTACAATGCCGCCGTCGGTGTCCGAGAAGAGGAAGGTGTTGGTGAGAAAGAAGTGAAATGAAATAGCTATGACCTTTCTCATGGAAGATCAATTTGCACGTGAAGGGATTTTAATGTTAAAAAAAAAAAAAGATTGGAAGCCAAGCGTAATGTTAAGCAAAGTTTGAAAAATGCATTTGAATATTTTCCATCTCAATGCCAATCGAGATGAAATAATGTCTATGTTTGTCCCATTAAATTTTAATTTATTTTCTTTCTACTCTTATCAATTACACATTTTTTCAATAAAATAATATTACATATAAATCAAAAAAATTTCTCTACATTATAACTATATATTTTTCAAAAAATTGTATTTCAAATCAATTTTTTTTTTCCAAATAATGAAGCTCAAACAAGGGCAATAATTGTGGTAAACCAAAAATGCCTTAAAAAACATTTCTTTTGCTTCATAAAGTACTAATTGTGCCCACTTTCCATTATTTATTTGCGGACTAATCTCATAGACCTTCCCTCCTCTTTTTCATCCTAGTAGATCCCCTTGTTTTCTCTCTCCGATCTGGTAAATTTATGCATTTGTTTCACGAAAATCTTTCATTTTAAATCATGCAAATTTTAAATTTTTGATTTTATGCCATCCTTCATTCCTTAAATCATCTGAAAATCGAAAAATAAATACGAGTACCTTTTGCTAGGGTTTATTTTCTTTTCATATTTGAGGAAAGAAATTCAGATCGAATCAAATGGCCGCTCCACCTGCCAGAGCTCGAGCCGATTACGATTATCTAATCAAGCTCCTCTTGATAGGAGACAGCGGTACGTATATTATGCACGCAGTTCTGTAAATATTTTAACGTATTTATCATGTTATTTTGCTTATTATTTGAAATATATGGACGTGCTTTTGTATTTGTTGTTGTGGAACCTGCATTTGATTGGAAATGTTCATATTATTACGGCACTTGATATGGTTTTGATGTTGTCACTGGGAGAATATTTAAGATCTTCCAGATATTCTCTTGATATATCTTTTATATTGTGGGGAAAGTGTAATAATTCATATGATCTTCTGATAAAAATACGTGTTTGTCTATATTTTGACTTAGTAGGTGTACATATGTTTTGCGAATATCCTAAAACAAATGCGGTGTTATAGATGCTTGTGAAATATAATGCATATGTTTGCTGGCACATAGACTTGTGTATGACTTTTATGTGTTTATATTATAAGGAGTTTTATTTAATTTTCCATCGACGAATTACGGAGGATCTCAGTCTCTTTATAAGCTGAACTCTTGGACTTTAATAATTGATAGGATATAATTTTAACTTGAGGAAAGGGAATACCTGTATAAAACGAAATGTTCCAAATGATAGGCTACTGATTTTCCATAGGAGAATGGCAGGGAAGGTCTGAGTGATTGAGATGAATTTGGTGACTTTCTATCTAGAGGAATGATTAAAATCTTATGAAGCGGTGCTGAGATTCAACGTTTTAAATGACTTAGCAAGGATATGAAAGATTTTGTATTCTGGTATGAGTGAAGCTTGGTGGTTGGGGGCTATTTTCTCCAGTTCATCCCCTTTCAGGGAAAATGATTATCTATTTCACTCGCCTGAACCTTAGAAAGTAATGACTGTTTCACGTTGTAGAACCTTTTTGTCATGTCAGCATATGTTCCTTTTTTTTGGCTTAATTAATCTCTCATCTGGCAATTTATAACGAATAATCTTTCTGCAAGTTGTCGTTTAACTAGAACTGGATTGAAGGTCACCTTTAATGATTTAAGTTTTCAGGTGTGGGCAAGAGTTGCCTTCTTTTACGTTTCTCTGATGGCTCTTTCACAACCAGTTTCATTACCACTATTGGGTAGGTTGCTTTCCAATATAAGATACCCTCTTCAGTTTGGCTTGGTTGACATTCTTCTGCCAGGTATATCTTATTCTGCTTTTTTATGCAGCATTGACTTCAAGATAAGGACCATAGAGCTCGATGGCAAACGAATCAAATTGCAAATTTGGGATACTGCTGGGCAAGAAAGATTCAGAACCATCACAACTGGTATGCCATAACCAATGCATGAAATTCCCCCTATCCCATCCCTATTCAGAAGCTGAGGTAGTATGGCATTTCAGTTTCGTCATGTTTTTCTTCAATCAGTTTAAGGTATCTTTAGAAATATGAGTAGTAGCTTCTTAGAAGTTCTGGGTGCCATTTCTATATCTTAGAAGAAAGTAGAGATGAGATTGATCAAATGTATCATATCATGTATGGAATCGGTTGCCGTTAGTTGGTGGAAAAAGATTTTAAAGTTTTAAGTATCATAATAATCCAAAAAAAAAAAAAACCATTGTGCAGTCTGGTGTAGTTTATTAATTGTTTCATTATAGTTTTGCATTCAATCTAATGCAGGCTGGTGTCTTTTTTTCCTGCTTCATACCATGCATTGCATTCTAAGGGGAATTTTTATTTATTGATCATTCGAAATTTTTTCCTCAAATGAGTTTATGGCTGCAACTGAACCCCCACGGAAAGTGGAGCTGGAGATGGTTTGCATTTGACTCATTTTTTTCAGATGAGCTCAAAACTTGTGATTGTGCATTGTTTTTAATAAATTCATGGAATAATGAACTATTTGTGAGCAGCTTGTACCTTTTTTACAATTAATTTTGTTTCTTGATTATATTTGCACGTATTACAATAAAGATATCATGATATAGGGATTTTGAAAGTTAAGGAAAGAAGCAAACATAATTCATATGTTTTAGTGGTAAGAAGTATGATAAGTTTTATAATATAGCTGAAGCCACTACAATTATTGTGATAGCGAAC